TATGGAAAAAAGGAGAAATCCTTTTATTTTTCATTTTTCCTATTTTTTCCTATTTTTTCGGAAAAATAAGAGAAAACTAGTAAAAATGAAGAAAAATAGGAGAAACATAGGAAAAAAAAGAAAAAATGAAAGGAAAATAAAGGGATTTCTCTTTTTTTCCATAGAAATATGGAAAAAAGGAGAAATCATTGTATTTTCCAAATTTTCATAATTTTTCTATTTTTTTCCTATGGTGTCTATGTTTTCCTTTTGTGTTTCTTTGTTTTTTCCTTGTTTGTTTCCTTGTTTTTCCTTTTTGGTTTCCTTTTTTCTCTTTTTTTTGAGTGGCCGAAAAATGCCTTTGCTTTTTTTTTGGAATTCTGTTTCTATTGTTTTTGGATCATTCTCGGAATTATTTTCCAATGAAATGATTTTCAAGACTTCCAAGACAAGCCTGCTATTTACATCATAACCTTTATGCATTCTGGGCCCTCAACTGGCATCCTGGGAGTTCCGGATATTTGGGATTTTGAAGTTTAAACCCTGGAAAGCCCTGCAGACCCTCGCCCCAAATCCGTTCACTCAGGGCTAAAACCCCTCATCGCCAACCGTAAGTCTTAAAAAACACTTATAGGAATGAGGATTTCAGAGCCCCTAAACCCATGGTCGCTGAATGTAAACAATGCTCTGATTTAGGGCAGCAGGCTATTCTGTACGTTGCCTCTCGCGCGCCGCGCCCACGACGCCGGGCCGCGGTGATGATGCTGCTTCCGGCGAGGCTCTTGCTCTGTTTTTTTTCTCAGAGAGTCCATGTATCTGTACTGTATAGTTTCCACTTTGGGCCTAAACAAGTTCCTGTTTGGTTGCGGCCTAAGCATATCCGACCTTCAGATCTGTCTGTCAAATTCTGTGGCTAAGTGAGGAGGCTGAGGATTCAGGATCTGGGGCTTAGGATGCAGGCTTTATCATTGAGAGCGCTAAAGTTTAGGGTTCGGCCCCTGTATTTTGCAACGAACCAGGGATTCCAATGCATGCAGATTGATTGGATCTCTGATGTGTAAGGGTATATGCAGCGATCCTTATTCAGGTCTATAGGATGTATGTTGAAATGTTAAAGCCCCCTTCAAAAGGCCTACATGGGTATAGAAGCCTTTGTTCCCCTTCATTTCGAGGCTTTTGTAACACAATGCTTGCAGCATCTCTGTTGCCACGCCTAGATTCTAATCGCTATAGACTCTAGACGTTACAGTGGAAGCGAGAAAGTTTGAGCATCAGTATCCACAAAACACAAGACCTAGAAGCAGAAAACAGCAGCATATCAAATAGGCCTATCTCCGTGTGCACGGTTCCCGCATCTGTGGGCTTTGCTATTTCCCCTAAACGCTGAAGCCCCCAACCACATCCCCTAAACGCTGAAGCCCCCAACCACAGCTAAATCCTAAACCCCCAACATCCTCCAACCCGAATCCTAAGATGTTACCATTCCGAGGCGCCTCCCAGATAATCCCTATCCATCCAATGATTTCCAAATATAGGGGCCCCTTTCTTGAGCCCCTTCAAGTATTTCGTTTCACAGGGCTGATATGGGGGGGCCGTACTTCTGGAGTTTCCTACACAATCCTACAACCGCGCCTAGATTCAAGAAACCCAAGGCCCCAACAACCCAAGCCCTCCTGGCAAATAGGTGGCCGCATGGTTAGCTACGCTGAATGGTGTCGAAGTCATACAGGCGGCTCATCTGTTTTTGTTCTTTGCGCGTTTTGGGCTGTAGCCTTAAAATTAAACCCCAAAGTTAAGCCGTCGGGTTTAGACTTGTGAGCAAGGATGCTTGTTCATCAAAGGCACGAAGCTTGACATCAAAGCCAGTTTCTCAGTTTTTGTCTTGCAGAACCCTCAGTAGTGACACCCTAGAATCCGCTTGTAATTCCCTTGTGCCTCAGGGGGTCGCTACGGTACCCCATGTTCAGAAAAACTCCTAGTGAATCTTGCTGTGGGTACCAGGCGTGGGGGCCCGAGGTTCTGAGGTTTGTTTGATATTGTTGATACTAGGAATCCTGCAGGACGCGTTATGACACCTTCAAGGGTGTCAGAACGGCCTTGTCTCGGGGGATCCACTGATAAAAGCCATTCGTCCAATGGGCTTGGCATGAGGAAGAGATGTGTTCCGGAAGGTTGAGATCGACCCAGGACCATCAAGGCCCACAACGCGCAGACGTTAGACCCTGAAGCCAAAGCCCAAATAGTCTCTGAAACGTTGGACGCACAAAGACACGAAACCACAAGTCAATCAGAGCTTGCAAGCCTGAGCCCAATTGAGTCCAATATAACCCATTATAACCCCAATATACTAGTAGCAGTTTCCATTTTATTTTCCATTATCCCAATATAGAACCCCAATATACACAAGCCCTATAGATCAAGAATTTAACGCAGCAGGCCTTTGAACTTCAGCAGCGCAAAATGCCCCTGTATTCCCTCTGAGATCCGACAGCTTAGGGATTTACATAAGGTTGAGGGCGCAGGGTTCTGGGGTTTAGAGTTCAGGGGGTTGAGTTTTGGGGCGTAGGGTTTAGGATATACTTCAGCTTTCCAATTGGGTTGAGAAGCCCCGATTGGTCTGCATGGGGATGGGCTGAGTAAGGAGGTGTTGGAGCGTATGCAGAAGACACAGTGCAACTTCTTACAATGAATCTGCGGACCTCCATGTGAGACCCTGAACCCCCAAGCCCCAAGCCCTAGCTGGTACCCAGCAGCTCCCTCAGGGCGAGGTGACTCAGCGCGAGAAGTTAATGGAGCTGCTTAAAGGCGGGATCTGCAAGCGTCAGGTGGTCAGGGGTTCGGGTAGTGGTATTCTACTCGGTTCAGCCATACATGTCACGTCGTTCAGAAGACATACGTCCAACCCAGCTTCCTGTGAAGCCTTTCTGGGAGGCCTTTTTGCTTGATTTCCGCTCATGCCTTTGCCCAGTCCGTGTTCTGACCGCGCAACCCCTGTCCTAGGATAGTCCCGTCTTCCACTGCAACACATGCCTTGATGCCCCCTTACATCTGAACCTTGTGTCGCGCCCCAGCTCACACGTCACAGCATTTTGCTGTGCACTGACGCTAGAAATTAACCACTTCCCATGGCTGGCATCAGCAGCCCATGCAACAGTGACAACTGTCACGACTCGCGTTTGCAAGCGCAATGTACCCGCTATAAATCCTAGACCTTATGCACGCGCTCATACCTGAATCATCCTTTCGTTGCGTTTGTTCCAAGACAGGGAATGCCAGAGCAAGAGCCAAGCGAGGTTATCTCATTGCGTCGCCCAGATGGAGCCGCACTCATGGGACATGGGACTGGAACTTCTCTCGACCAGAGAAGCTTCAGATTTTGTCGAGGCCCATGGGATTGATATGACAGCGTCACGCATGGAGGTCCTGCATGCCATCACAAAAGCTGTCAGCGCCATGCCGTTTCACAACCTGCACTTTCTGGCCACACATCCTGATGATCGTAAACCCCCAAATGAGCAAGCGGTGAAGGCTGCCATGTTAAAGGGACAAGGCGGCTTGTGCTTTGTAAAGCAGCCCTTTGTTGGGCATTTGTTGAGGGCGCTAGGCTATGTGGTTGAAGTTGTGCCTGGTTCTGTGACTCATCCGGGAAACCACATTGTGATTGTGGTCCACGATGTTCAGGCGCAGGGTGACCGTTATGTGGTCGAAGTTGGCTGCGGCTACCCATCTTGCAGTGCTGTTCGAATCGATGGTGAAGATGAGCATGAAGGTTTCGAAGCTGTCTTCACTGACTCTTTCCTTGAATACCGCTATGTGAAGACTGCTGGGGAGAGCCTCATACGCCGAGAGCACCGTGGTGGCGACCCTCCCCGGCCTGTGGTGGCAGACTCCTTGGGTAGATCAGGTGAGGTGGACGGCTGGCGACGCTACTTTGATTTCTTCTACCCTCCCTCAACAAACGGCTTAGAGCAATTGGCTCAAGGCATGCAAGATGTTTGCACACTTCCCGACGCTTCACCATTCCTTGCCAGCCTTCGCGCAGTTCGATGGGTGAAAGGCAAAATGATTGCAATCAAGGATGCAAAGCTGCTTGAGGAGGCTGAAGATGGCCAAATCGTTGTCACGGAGTTGCAGGATGTTTCGGAGATCCGCGACAAACTTATCCTACATTTTCCAGAGATTGAAGCTTGTCATGTTGACGCGGCTCTTGAATACTGGCATCGCCACATTCAAGCACCTAGAGACACCAGGTGATCTCCATGTGCTGACCAAAAAAGGTCATTTTTTTCCTCCAGAGCAGCGCGCGGCATTGCATGTTTGGCTAGCAATCCAAACCCAGTTCTAGCGGATTCTTGATTATGAAGTGATCACTGTCTCTAGCAACAAGCAGTCGCGTGCTGCACTGCTGCATTTCCATTTAGTCAATTCATCTCAGCTGGCATTGGTAGTGCCTCTGGATGACGCCCCATGGCTCTGAAACAGGCTCCATGAGGAGTATCTCAGCTACAACAGCCTTCATCCTTCAACCCAAGTCCTATCCCCCAGACCTCTATCAAACAAACCAAGCTACCAAGCGTGAAAGATACGCAGAATAGAAGGACCGGCTACTTCACAGTATGCCCAGCAAGCCCTACCTAAACCCTGAAGCGCCTAGAGTCCAAAATTCTAAGCCCACAGCCGTGACACAAGGTGCAGGCAGGAGCCCCCCAAAACCTCAACCCTAAACCTCTAACCCCGCATCCTAACCTATTTGGCCAGACACTACACCCTAAATCCCCCCTATCCAGAACCCTAGGCGTCAAGACCGCAAACATTTGTGTGCCCTCTCGATTCTGAGCTCTGAGCTTCAACTCCCACGTCCTAAGCTGCAAGCCCTAACTGTCGCTATCTCCGAACTCCGAAGCCAAGACCTTACCCCTTCCAAGCATCCTTAACCCCAAACCCTTGACCCCAAACCTGCAACCCTTACCATCGGCCCATTGCTCCTACCTTAGATGGGAGCTTATTAAGACTGACCGCTTAGAATCCTCAATAAGGACTCCCATAATCCCCTCATAATCATACTTATTTACCTCTTGGGATTCCTAGGAGCCCCCAGGTTGAGAAGCTCCCAGAAAATCTCTGTACATCTGCACATATAGCAGGTTCCGCCATTATACCTTCTGTATCCCTGTAAAGACTGTATAAATCCTACTGGTAGCCCCATTGCCCGAAATCCTCAACCTCAATCCGCAAACCCTAAAATCCCTAAACCCTGAACCTTTAAAGACTTAAACCCTAACCTTAGGCCCTAGACCCTGAATCGTGTACTTTTGATGAACCGTCAAATCTTCCGACTTCCAGGCTGCAGCGCATGTTTGGCCCTCCATGGAGCCAAGCGCTACTCAACGCCGGCGGACTTCTTGCCGTGGGTAGATGTGCCCTGGCCGGGTTTGGAGTGCAGGCTTCAGGGTTTGAGTCGACCTATCAGTTGTTATCATGTTGTGCTAGTAGTAGATTGCGCTCCGGTCTTATTTGACGCCAGGTTTGTCGGAGCATGCAGCAGCAGAAAACGTTGGTAGTTACGTTGAACTTGAAGAGCAGTGCAGTGTTGATCTGGGCGCCGAAAATCTGTATTAAGAGGCTTCACGCAAAGCATGGATGTCGTCTTTGTATTGTTGGGCTAAGAGGTGAAAAGTCTAGGATGCCTCAAGCGAAGCATCGATTTACCCTGAAAAATGTAGCCCCAAAGGTCCTGCGTACAAACCCTAAACGATATGAGCCAGAAGGGTCCCCATACCTGCCCTAACAACTCTACCATACTAGCCTTGAAAATCTGTTAGCAGAAAGGGCTCCCAAAAAAACATCAAATTTGGCGTGGCAAAATTGCCGTGATTCATCATGACAACCAGTACTGCGAACAGAAGAAAAAATTAAGAGCACAGAAATGCTGTTAATAGCAATAAATAAGAGGCTGCATGGGATGGCCCCCCCACAGGTGTAAAAGTTGCTCAGCAAGATGGGTCCCATGGTGAACCTTGAAAGACAGCAGCTAGAAGGGTCCGAAAATAAATTGAGGAACTTTGACGTTCGCAGCTGCTTGCATCATGATGACAACCATCATTGTTGTCAACATTGAGAGGCTTCAAGGACACGAAATACTGTTAAATATCAGTATATCAGAGGCCTAATCGGATGCCGAAAATCATGCCAGGATATCCTGAATCTTGTTGCAAGCATCATTCGTATGATCATCATGCCTGCGTTTGTGGTGTGTTTTGCCCGCTTCGGGGCCCAGGTCTCCATGGGTTTCGTGCTGGACAAAGTAGGACTGCCAGGAAGTATTGCAAATATCAACGGACTTGGGGCTAGCGTCATTTGCCATCCTTGACCAAGATTCAGAACAATGTGGCGTCAGATAGGTACGGACCATGTAGTAGATGTGCCCTAACGTAAAATCATATGGGAGGAAAAAGAAACATGGTCGATGAAATTGAGACCACTATTTAGGGTCAGGATTTAGGTTATACCTTGGGCTCTAAAGAGGCTCAGTAGGGTGAGGATTTCATTGCGGGATTTGTATTGCAGGGTCCTAAAATGGAATGTCTTTCTGGTGAGATGGGGGGTTTAAGGTTGTGAGTATTTGGGGCCATGAGTACATGAGCCCCTGGCCTAGAGCGTCAGTCTGTGGTTGGAGGCATGCCCTAACATGTGCCCTTGGGTTTTTGAGTGGGGGTCTAGGGCCCCTTAGAAGGAGGGGTGATCTCATGGCGAGGTACTGGTAATGACTATGCATGTGCGGGTCCCGCTTTATCCGACTCTGCCACATGTAGTGGGCGCGCTCAGTTTATGATATGATAGCCTTGAAGACCGCACTCACATACGGGTCAACCAAATAGCTCTTGTTCAGGCTTTCTACCCAAATGTAGGGTCCTGACCCTTAAGACGAATAAACCTTGAACTCTCAAGCTCTTAATTTCACATTCTAAAACCAACTAAACCTCATACGCCCTAAAGCTAAGAACAACCTTTTTACATGAAACTTGTGAACCCGAGGCATCCTCGGATCCGAACCATGGCAAGCAGGCCTGCTGGGTAGCTTTGCTTTTCATGGCGGGGTAGATTTTCATGGTGTTGCGACTCCCCCCGCGTGTACGCCGCCAAAGTCATGTACAGGAAGTAATGTGGTTTGGTCGAAGTGATTGGCCGTTGCCAGGTGAATAGCGAGGCCGTTGGCTATCTTCTGGACGCAGCTGTGGCGAACGGCTCCTTGGCGGAGTGCAGCACTTCCTGGTGCTTCTGGGGGTGGGCATTTGGAAGTTAAGCTTTACTTACGGGAAGGCGCAGGCATGCCCTACACTAATTGTATCTCGCTCCAGAGCATGAATCTTCATACTGACAAAGGGTTCTGGGTTTTGGATTCAATGGTGTTTTCTGCAGGTTAGCATGAAACTCTGATGCCCTGACAGCGAATTGTTCATGTTATCCCCTTCAACACGCGGAAGGTAATTTTCGGGAGGTCTGCACTTTTATGCTACGTTCATGATACGCGGCTCAGTCTGTAGATCTTAGAGCATGGGGCCTTGTGATAGGCCACAAGCCCTCAAGACCTCGGAGCTTGCATGCACCCTCTCACACCGCAAAAGCCCGAAGCCCAAAACCCACCCCTTGAAACCCCCAAAATCTACGCCAAGGTTTGATTGCAGTAGCACTGTTGCATAATGAAGAAAGGTTTTGACAGTCTGTCCCAGAAGCGCCGAGGCTGCAAGCGAATCGTGCGTGTCACTGGCAAGGTGGGCTTCTAGCAATGTGGGGGTTTCCGAAAGCTAGGGGTACCATTTTCGAGGTCCTTATAATCAGGATTATACTTTTTTGGGGTCTATACTGGGGTACCCTATTTCGGGAAATTACCATGTAGGGGCATGAGCAACGAGCACAGGTCTTGGAGCTCAGTGCTAAGTGGTTGGGCTCCAGGCATCCGACTAAGCTGAATAGAGTTTGGGGGGTATAGTCATGAATGCCAGGCTTCTGCACGACGGTCCTCCGCAACTTGCTTCAGAGCTCGTTGCCTTTCTTAAGTGTTCGTTTGGGCTTTTGGTGGGCTTGAGGGTCGTTCCCAAGAGTCCAAGTAGCCGAAGGCCAGAGATGTGATCCTCATGGTCAATCGGCCCCAACCTAAACATCCAAAGTAAGCCCTCAACCCTGGATGACAGGCGGAGCATTCCCAGCCTTTTTTTGAGATTCGGTATGGTCCGCCAGTTTGCCCAGCCGTCAACGGAATGTCCGACGTGTCCTATGTCCATGCATGCTCTGGCTTTATGCTTGTCATGCCTATCTGATAGTTTGCAATAACAGTATAGTAAGAGTATTTTGGCTTCTCCAACTTCCCGAAAAGAGTCGCATGACTATCTTATGACTATTGTAGGGTCGTTGTTGTAGGTGTTGAGGCTACCAAAATCTCGTCATTGCAGCAAAAAGGTGCAGCAAGGGCTTGAAACATTCATTGCACGGTCTAGGGTTTGGGATTTGACGAAGCCTTGACAGAAGAGATCTAAGTTTTGCAACCCTTAGAGTTTTGAAGCTGTTCTCATGCCAACCTGAGAAAGGCTTTTTCGCTTAGAAGTTTCTATCTCACATGCCACAACCATGTGGTAAGTCCCTTCCTCCATCATCAGTAGATGAGAACGTCTGATTTCTGGTAGGGAAACCCCAAATTACTTAGAAAACAACCCGTTGTGCATTGGACACCAGGGCGAAGATCCCTGGTCACCTTTTTCGAAGCTCAGCGCGTACATTGCTGGTGCTTAAGGAGTAGTGGACAAGAAGATGGAGGCTACCGGCTGCCGTAGGGTTTAGGGTTTATAGCGTTTATAGCTTTCAAGGAAGTTGGGGAGTGGATTCCTACACTGTCCCTATATACTCCGCTAGAATTGTAACGATCTTGCCTCCCTCGCTGCGCCTCAAGCACATTTAAGTTGCATTGCAGTTTCCACCATGTCTTGACTGTACGAGCTTGACAAGCTTCCCCCATCAGAAGGAACTCCAAGAGCCAGATTTTGAGCCCGAGGTCTAGGGCCATGAACGCACAGTGTAGGCTTTAGGCTGAGAGTATCATAGGGAAGGCACGCATGCCTTGTCGCCTGGGGATGGAGGTCTCTATTGCACACTCAAGCCCTCGCTACATTAAATCCCCATTCCACAAAAACCCAACTCATGGGGTGGAGGAAAAGAGCTCACCGGGGTTCAGCTGAATAAATTGCACTTGACATAGGGAATTCCATGAGCCGTCCAAGAGTTGTTAAGCATGTCGGTGTTGACATACTCCCTGGCCCACCGAAAAAACTTGAGCCAGAAACCACCTGCAACTCTCAACCAAGCACAACTTAATCAAAGCTGGAGTCCGTGATGGTGTTATAGTATTATGGGAGATATATAGGGGCCAAGGCTTCCGAGAATTGGGAATCCCTTCTTGGGGAGCACCAATAACAAGAATTGTAGTATATGGGCTTTTTCCTGGGATTCCTTTATTCCCGGAAACCACCACATTACTAGGCAATGGAAGAGGGAATCCAAGCTGCCAGGCTTTAGGGTTCAGAGTTTAGAGTCTATAGGGTAGTGGTTTAGGGCTTAGGGTGCTTAGCAGGAAATGTGGGAATGGGGTTCTAAGCTGTACTTCGTTGTGCCGAAGCCTGCAATTCCACACCCAGCAGTAAGTTTTGAATTCTAGGCTCTGAAGCCGGCCGAGGGGGTCTATCACACAAGAATTCAAAAAAGGAATCCCCCCAACAAATCTAGACCTCAACCCCCTATATACATTCTACAACCTAAGCTCTGGTTCCTGAACCCCAAGGATTCTTATCAATGGCCTTGGGTCCATGGCAAAGGCCTGGAACCAGGCCAGCTTGGCTGTGAACTTGTGAGTAGGGTTGTAAGGTTCAGGATTTAGGGTTTACAGGGCTGTGGGTTGTAAGACATGGGGGTCATGAGGAGATTGTGGGCGCTCCCTACGAGTCTTGAGGATTATCTAGAGGATATTTTGGGAAACATCACACCGACAGTTAGAGATCTCAAGGGCCTAGTGTTTTAGCAGAAGCTCCCAAATGAGTTGCTTGTTTGTTTGACTGGAATGACTTGGATGACCTTAGGAAAAATCAAACAGAAAGTTCCACGTCTCCAACCTACAGCTCGGACCTGAAACTCCGGATTCCTAGCCATGTCATTTTTGATACTTCAAGCCCTGAAGGGAAACACTGGTAATGTATTTGCTCGAGCACGTCCCAGAACTTGGACGCCACGGATACCATGTTTTTAGGGTTTAGGGGTTTTGGGGGCTCCGGTAGGGGGATTTTGGCTTAAGGTAATAGCAACTGACATCACCTTTTACCTTCAACACTACACATGAAAGCTTGCGCCTTTACGCCATGAACTCTTAAATTTACCCTGAACGCAGTGGGCAGGAGGGCGAGCGACGCCTGCGTGGACAGCGAGAGGTGGTTCCTTGGCAGAATCGAATCAATGAAGGGAGTATGGTGCTCAGGTTTCTTTCGCCAAGCGCCACTGCTGTAGCTTCGTAAAATCAAGACCTGTCCTGCTGAGCGCGTTGGTCCAGCAGCCAGCAGGTTCCGCAGGGTATCTATGAAGGTATTGTTTCAGGCATATGTTATGATGTCAATTCGGGTGTCTGAGGCTGAGGAGTAGCTGATGGGGAGGAAATGTCCTGTTGAAAAGCGTGGCAGTGAGGCCTAGCTGGTGTGGAGGAGGGTGACGTCTTTTGCAGTCCTTTTGGATGCCAACTCTATCGGAAGATATTGGAGAAAGATGACGTGATGAAAGGGTTCGTCTACTGGGATAAGGATGGCTTCAGTCTTCAGTAAAGAATTAAAATTGATGAAAAATGAGCCTTTGGGATGGGATGATTGGTTGGCACGAGGGTTCAGGGATTGCCGAGTGGAGTTTGGGGCCTGGGCAGAAGAAGAGTACACAGGGAGCGGAACAATGGATTAGTATGGGAACAGGGCTATGGAAGGGTTTGCAGTCCTCCACGCGCTTGGAGGGAACCATGTCCATTTGAGGTGAGGCTTCATTATTGCTTTGAGGAGTGTCATAGGCCTCCTCGTGCCGTGTAGATATGAGTATTCATATTCAGGTGGTCACGGCAACCCCAATGGCCTAAGCCCATCCACCCATCCAAGCCCTTAACTCTGAACCCCAAACTCAGTCCTACCCTTGGACTTTCAAGCTCTGGAAAGCCATGGACCCCCCCCAGCGTGCAAAATACATAGGCAATTCGATGTTCAAAGCCACTAAGACTGCAGTTATTGGTATTTGCGATGTTGGGGATGGCGCAGTTCTGTCAATTCATTGCTAGGCTAATAGCAATTCGACTTCTGTGAAATGGGAAGGCTGTCTGCATTCACATGGCAAACAGCTTAGGCAGCCTAACACGCGAAGCAACCCTGAAGCACTTCATCCTTATTCTTGAAACACCTCACCATAAGCCCCAATCACTAAAAGCGTATGCTTCAATCCCACAATGTCTAGTCCCTCAAGCACAAAGCTGGGCTGTTGCTGAAAAAGATGTTACATGCTTCTATTTGCTTGACTCCTAGTATGGGACTGTTCCTCAACAGTATATACCTGCACCCCCAAGCCCTATACCCCTTATTCACTTTACACAACAGTCTGCATTCTCAAGAAAGGACTACACTATCATCCGGCCCGGCTATATGGGGAAGGTTGATGCCACGCTCGGCGATGAGCAGCTGGGCTTAGACAAGCAGTCTGCGATTTTCAGATTACCGGTAGTAATTGGGATTTGTCCACATTGGGTTAGCAGGATACAGGGGATGTGGGCAATACGGTATGGCATTCCAATTATATGGTTCTATCTACGAGCAATATTGAATATGTTATTATGAGGCTTGCCTACGGGCTTTATGGGGCTGGGGGAATCTGGGGCTCATGACTCATGACTGGGGGTTTGAGAAGCAGGCAATTTACCCTTCCAGTTTGCTTCGCACAAGTGCCCAAGATTAGGTTCCACATCTGTCTGAGGCTGCGAACTACGAAAACAATATGCAGCACACACTTTAGATCATGGGCCCTAGAGCCCAAATCCTTATCTTTCAGGATTTTAGCGGTTCAGCTAGGGTTTCGGTTAAGGGCTTTGCCACCGTTAACAGCTTAAGCTGGGCCCTCCAACATACTTCTGTCTGGGGTGCGTTACTTTTTTTGTGTGCGGAAGCCATGGCCCTAAGCCATGTGGCTAGTGTTCCGGGTTGCACCTATGGAATACCCCGGTGCAGCATGTCAACCAGTCATTGCAAGTGAGGCAGCACAGGGCAATCCTAAAACCTCAACGCCTTGCGCCCCAGACCTTTAGTTCTGCTTCACCCCTACTATCCCTTAATGCTGTAAACCTCGGATTTTCATTAGCCCCCCTGAGTCTCAGACACGAAACCTTAAAGCTGTAGGCTTCAGAAGGCAGCTTAAGGGCATCTAAGTTAGGTATGGAGGTTCCCAAACGGGTTCCTGATGATAGAGAGAGATTGCAAGGCATTCTTGAGAGACACGCCGGGCTCCATTCTATGGTGGTCCTAAGCAGCCAAGAGGACTTGTGACATCAGGGACATCCACGGGGCATGGAAAGACTCCCACTTCTCAGGCTCACGCCTTCAACCTTAATTACCCTGCAACACCAACCCTGCATTCACGTCCTGACCCCAAGCGATAAAATTCAAGGTGGTCGCAATGTGGCCTTATTTCAGGCCTTACTTGTCTTGTACATGAGTCAGTGACTCCAAGTGTCCCTGCAGACCTCTAATAGGCAGGCCTTCGGCCCGACCCACCCAAAACTAACGCAGAATGTAGATGTAGATTCCTCCGCTTGTTTCAGGGTGTGTCTGGCCCTGGCAGATGACGGCGGTGACCTCAAGGCTTTCGGCTTAAGGGCTTTAGAGTTCAGAGGCTTCGGTGCGTACGAGCCTCGAGAATAGGGGGTCAACCTTTAGGCTACCTTCCGCCTGGGTTATGTGCAAGACCACCATTAAAGAGAAAATATTGAACCACGCAAAGTACCAGAGATCCTAAAAAACGAATCACGACAGTCTTGGAGGAGTCTGGGTGGTGCTTGAGCTCCTTCATCAGCATGGGCGTTGTTGTTGACTCCGCCTGGTATGTTGTGCAAAACACGAGTCGCTACTGTTGGAGTGTATTACAAACTCTTTGTGTCAGGCTTCGTGTTGTCAATCCTCATACATACACGCTAGGAAGCAAGTCCTCCGTTTCCCAGGCGCAGATGGCTGTTCGAGTGGTAAGAGTTGCCAATGTTCAGCATTTGGGCTCTAGGACTTGCAGAGTTCAAGATTTGTAGAAGTCTCTGGCAAACGGGCCAATTTTGTCTAGGAAGTGCTTGGCGAGAACTACGTTTCCACAAGCATGCATGAATTTGTATGTCTGCTCAAACAAACCTACATTCGGAAAAAGGCAGACATTTCGTGCCTTGCCAAGCCTCACATGTCATCATTTCGACTGTTGGCCACGCTGAGGTGTGATGTTGGGCCTGAATGATCAGAAGCGTGATTTTGAGTAGTCCAGATTCTAGCGATGTAGGTCTATGAATCAAGAATACTTGGTAGCTATGCAGGCTTCTACATCACCTGGACTAGTAGAAGTTCTAGATGATCAGGCTTGCAGTCCGCAATCTCAACCTCACCTGCGGCCCAAGGCAAGAACCCACCCTAGACCGCAGAAACTGATGCGTTTCAGGTCGTACCTGCTTGTACCAAATTTTGTGTCCACATGCAAGAGAGATCCAACAAATTGAAAGCACAGTCTTGCTGTTGAACCCAAGGGCTTGCCACCGCCATCCAGATGCGCAGACCTCAAGATAGCTCGGGGGCTCCCAACCAGAATAGATTTTCCAAGAGCCGCAGAGTTCCCAAGCCCGAGCAGAGCTGCACAGAGCAAATCCGAAGCACGAAGCAAGCCCACAAGAATTCTGTCAAGAAGGTCTCTGCGATCCCACACCGTTGTGTTGCGGATACCAAGCTGCAAGAGGGCCACCATTGCTTAGTACTCTACATGGGAACTTTCTCACCGTTAGCAGGATGCAAGTCCCTGTTGCGGGGTGTCCCTATGTAAAACTCACCCGATTTGGGAACAGCAATGTAGGCCAAATCCTACATAGAGATGGTTGGTGGATTCCCAGCAGATTACCGGTCTCAACAGATGGAGTCATGACCATGTTCGGATTTGGCTTACCATAGAGACTCGTTTCTCACGTTGAGTGGCTGAGTGTTATTACAATTGTCTTCCATGTTCTTATGTTGCAACTGTAGACTCACAGGTTAGATCGGAGTTCGGACATCAGGTATAGCTTGATCAGGCGTTGCTATTGCTTTATTACTGGCGGGGCATGGAGATCTGAGATTCTGGCCCAGATGCTGGAAGCGAGATTTGGATTTGTGGCTTGTTTAGCGTGTGCAGGTGTGGGCTCCTTGCTTAAGCGGACTACTTCTGGATTTGGTCTGAATGTTGCCGTACAACACGTCGGGTATCTAGCAGAGACGGAAGGAAAGGTAACTCTCAACCGCAGTCCTTATCGTACGCATGCACATTGCCACTCAAATGACCGCTGCATTTACCAACTAGGTTTTCTTTAGCAGGCAGAGGTCTCCCGGATTGTGCCTCCGGCCAAAGGCGTGTTTCTGAACTTGCACGAACTCTCACGACCTCTTGGTGCCCAAGATTCCCGACCTAACCATAAACCAGCGACCTAATCGCAATTCAAGGAGCTATGTGTGCGATCACTTGCCTATCCAAATGCTGCACGCGCAACACTGGTGGCGATGACTACGCCTGGCGCTGGCCCAAGGAGACCAGACCCTTCGTAAGGTGTGGGGGCTTTCGCACAATTACAACCTCTTTTGAGTAAGAAAAGATCTGCCACAATAGTGATAAGGTCAGTAGTCACTGATGATCTTACCATGATTGTCGGCAGATAGTGCGCATGCGCCATGAAAGCAAGCTTCCATTATGACCATGAGCCCACAGCCCGATTGATCAACTGAACAGTTGATTGCAACAACAGATTGCTTAGACCCTAGATTTGCTGAGACTTCTAGATTCCATGCTTCTAGTGAATAGCTTCCCCACCCTCCAATTAGTAGACCTTCAAGGCCCAACCCCAACTCCCGCTACATGTGTTAGATCCTGATTTAACTTGTATACACCCCACTGAGATTGGCTAAGACATTCGAGCCTAATCGTGACTCCTGAACCCCATCAACTAAAAATCCCCCAAATAGAATTTTTCTCGAGGAGCTGGGATCCGCTGCTGGAGAAGGTAGCGCCCGACAGACGGAGCTTCCCAGGCTCAGAGAGGGGGATATGGGGCTGATCACGATTCATGCGGCTTAGGATATCGGGTTTAGAGTTTACTGTTTAGGTTTAGGGTTTAGAGTTTGGGAGTCTGGGGTATCTTTAGAGCTCTTTTCCTTGAAGCCCCATACACGACTGCTTTCACTAAGGCATGCTGGCCGTGAGTTAAAGCCAAAGCCTGAAATCAGAATTTGCAGGTTCCTCTTTGACACAAGCACGTGAGAGCTTCAACTTAGGCTAGGGATCCCTCTATCGACTTCCACCGTAGCCAAATCTGTATTACTTGTCAATACCCGCCCAATAAAAAGGGGACTCCTGTTTTCGGGAAATCCCCCAACAAAAATCACAGCTGCAGGCGTCCCAACGCTGGGACCCTCTTCATCCCCTCCCCTGGCGTGATAAGACCGATTTGGTAAACCCAACCCCCAACATGGGGACACTGTCCTGGGCTTGAAGACCATGCCGTGCTTGCTGAGCCCTAGCGGCGTGCCGCCTCTCATCAACACTGCTTCACCGTGCATTCCTTTCCTTGGCCTCCGCTCTTTCCCTGCCCTGTCACCTGGCCTGCGATGAGTCATGCCGCAGTCGCACCGCTTGCTGTCAAGAGCTGTAGTGTACATACGTGTGAGGTGTCTGAGGCCCCTGTAGAACCCACAGTGAAGGCCGTACCGGATTAGCTGTACATGTGTTTGCAGGGCCCGTTACAGGACTGTATGTACCGGAGCCACCTGCTGTTTTGAGCCCCCAGTCGTTTCACTTGCCGTGAGTGTGGCAGGTTTTTGCACTGAGCGCTGTTGTGCAGTTGCAGAGTGTACTGTCGCGCAACCTCCTTTCAGAAATCAAGGCAAAATGCACCGACAGTCGAGCCCTCGAGGGGACACGGTAATTATGATATGAATATATGATGGGGTCCGGATTTTGGGGGCTGAACGCCCAAACTTTGAAATTTCAAGCCCGCAAAAGCCCCAATCTCATTCTGCAAACCCTACAAGGCGCTCTGAGCCCTCATCACCTCGAGTGAAGAAGCACTGCTCCATGGGCCATGATAGCCTTTTCAGTGAAATGTACTTATTCAACAATCACAAGCCCCCGACGTCCCCAGCATTGGTGTTTGGGACGTGAGTACAAGCATCAGTACTCGTAGGTAAGAATTATTCAGCCCTTTATCCAAATATAGCAGTGTCAATTTCATTTGCCATTCGATGGTCCATTTGATTCTCGATCCTTATGGATACCTTGCAAGTTTCGTGTCCCATGCGCCGTTATTGTGATGACGGAACCTCCAAGCAGAGGCCCCGAGCTTCTTGGCGAGCACTACGCAGCCGTGCGAACTGCGCTGGGGGGTGGAGTGCTGTTGGGTAGCTCTCCTGCAACGCAGGGTGGAGCTTTTCAGGGTGGATCCATTGGATTTGTTTTAGGGACAAGCACGGAAATCTGGGGCATTGGGGACTTTCAGGTCTTAGGGTCAAGGGTGTGGAGAAGTAGGATCTAGGCTGCAAGGTTTAGGATTTTAGGCTTGTTGTTTCTATGGTCTCCAGGTTGGCGTAGGAGGGGAGGATGTGGAGGATTGTCAAGCGCGGTCCCTTGTGGGTTTCTGTGAACCACCGCGCGCTGGACTCGAAACCTCATGTATGTCTTGGGATATTGGGCTTCAGCCTGGTAGGGGCGTGTAGAAAGATCGAATGCATATTATGCGCCGATCAAGAGTCTGAGCACCACATTCCCGGCAGGTTCTGTGACATTCCTTGTAAGGCTTCCAAACTCGGTCGTCTCCCGAAATCTAAAGGCCGCGCAAACTTAAGTTTAAATCCTAAACAATAATTTCAAAGCTCCTACTTGAATCCTGAGCTCTTAAACATGAAGTTCCAAATCCTATAAGCCCTAGATCCTCAGCCGGAGCTGGGCCGAACCGGAAGCCTTCGATTCTGAGGTGTTAGCGCAGCTGCTCTGCTTGCGAGATCGCTCCAATGAGCAGACGCTTTCAGACACTCCCAAGTAGACTTGCTCTTGCTTAGGGTCTGGGGTTTGGGGGGGACTTAAACAGGGGTATTACCCATCATGACGGAAAATCAAATGGAACATGAAATGGAAACTAGTGTGCTGTAGTCTAGTCTAAACTCCTTAAAGGGGGTCATGCAGGGGATCATATAGTGGAGTATTATAGGGGTTATGAAGGGGGAACCTGGAAGTTTAGACTATGGCTCAGGTAGGTAGACTTGCTCTTGCTTAAGGGGAGTCAGGGAGTAGATCCCCATAAACAAGCCGATAAATCCCATAATGGTAATTACCTACATCCCCTCCCTATTGGGCATTAAGCAGAAGTAGGTAGGCCACCGGCCGCAAGCTAGGCGTAGGCAAGTCTCCGGAATGCCTGTTGGTATTCCTTATGCGTTTTGCATACAATGCCTTGTAGGGTGACACATTTTTAGGCACAGGCTGAGGGAGAGGGTCCGAAAGCGTGCATTGAGTGCTTAGAGCACGTAGAGAGAGCCTCAACCCTGGATTCAGGGTTTGGGGTTTAGGGTGCCGGTTTTCCAAGTCTTGCAACTGTCAGCGCACAGTTGTCAACTCGCTGCGGAAGCAGATGTTTGTTGCAAAAAAAGGCGGGGGTCTACCATTGTTTATCGAAGGACTGACACGGTGTAAATTCCAACTGCACGGCAGATGTTTTGTGCCCAACATGTTGCTGAAGCCTGCACAGTTTTACGAGGTACAAGGCCGTTTTTCGGTGGAGCTGAAGGAGGGCTGAGCGCATGACATGCTTGGGGGATGGGAGTTAATTCGACGGGGATGTCTGATAGGCGTATGAGGACAATGTGAAAGAATAATCCCTACGTAATCATTGCGAGCAATCCCTTTATGCTATTCCAATGATAAAAATCATTCTCTCTCACTCTAGGGTACCTACGTGCCCACGATTTGAAGAAATGCGGGTTTACAATAGAATCCTCACCTTTTGCGCCTTGGCATTACTGACGCTTGGAGGTAGGAAGCAATCCCTTCGATTAAGATGATGAAGGGTTTAGGGTTCAGGGACTTCGGGTTGTTACGCTGCTCAGGGGCCTAGCGGTTCAGGGGTAGGGCCCCTATTCTTAAAACAAAACAGACCGCTTGATGTTCAACGTGTTCTCCAGTATGTGACGTCACAAACGCCCTGGCGATTCCTAGGATACAGGACATGTAAGGTGGTGCAAGATTTCCGCAGGAGCTGCCACATATTTCATTCTAAACGACCCGGCTGTGAAAGGAGTACTTCCAAGTGGGAATAGCAGCCCAAGCCCATGTGCCCATATCTTTGATTGTCAAGGTGGGAAGTCCATAAATTGATGCGCCCGGCACTGTGCACTATGCCCTGAACCTTCTGTTCTGGTCCTTCTCCCGCCCCTACTCTTTCTTTAAATGCGCCGGGGTTGTCCGTAGAAGTCCACACCAGGGGCTCATACAAGTAGCTCTTGAGTGCAATTTCTTGAAGAGGACCTCTGTTCTTCTAACAGTCCCTAAACCCTCCATCTAGGGGAGTGCTGCGCATTGTGGATTGGGCATTTCCCGTGGCAGAAAACTACCCAACCTAATCCCAAGCCATGGTCTGAACCCTGGATCCCAAACCGACTCCCATAACCCAGAGCCGTACCCCTGACTTCTAAACCCAATCCTATAGAGATTACCAATAGTGCTCCCATATTATCCTTGTACAAACTGCGGCATAAACTGTCCCAAAAACATATTCTAATCCTATCTAGGCCTCTACACTACCTGCTGAGGCCATACGCCTGCGATGTCGTCTCCGGGAGCTTCGCGTCATGCTGCGGACCTCAGGGGGCATGGCATGGGGAGTTGAGGGGCGGAAGCTGCTTGGAAGTTTAAGGGCTAGGGAATTTTCGGGTCTAGGGTTTGCGGAGTTCGGGTTCGGGTTTTCTTGAGCTCTTGGTTGATAGTCGCTGAGACTGTGACTCTTTGGGGGAGTCGGGGCCGGGGCTTGGGGCTAAGAGGTTTTGTTTTGGGGTGAAGCAAGCAAAGGCATAGGTGAGAGTGTAGGGAATACTGGGTGAGTCAAGGGCACCTCCAGCTGGCTAGTTGTTAGGTGATACAGTGATACCTTTGTAAGAGGCTTATGCTCATCTTACATTATTCCCATTAATTACGCTTGTTTAGGCAGTATATGATCCTGCATATGGACCCATCCGCCCAGGATCCGTCAGGCATATTTCCGTATAGTCTCCATATACGCTGCCGAGAGGCCATCCGTTTTGAGAAGCTCCCAGATGAGAAGGGGCACCTACTCATGCCTGGAAAGCCCAAACCACTAAACTTTCACTAATCCCTAAGCAACTAAACTCTAAACATCGAAACCCCTTAATCGTTAGTTTCCTTACCTGCATCCTCTTCAACCAGAACATAGAACGCCATCCAGCCCATTTTGTCTAAAAAGACAGGTTGTCTTTCTAGCGGTTTTTTTGGGATTACATCTTGGTTTGGCCAATCGCCTCGGAACCAAAACCTTTCGACCGCACCGGAGGATTTCATTGACTCTGAACCTGTTAAACTTTCAGCGCAAATGACGGGGTTTCCCAAAATTAGTGGTACCTTCTGGTTGGTCCCAATAATGAGGACTATGGCATAGATTGTGGTCCCCTTGATTAGGGAAACTACCAAATCCTTAAGCCTCCTCAGCAACCAATGTGTACACAAGGCCCCTGCAACTACCATCTATTGTGGCCTCAATAACCCAAATATGGACCCCATCGTCCCTGTTAAAGGAGGGTCTAGGAGTACTTCGGAAGTGACTTTTTAAGGTGGGCCTGGCTCCTTTCTGCCAAGCTGCGGATCTGGGTTGACTCCCGACTGACAAGATGAGTATCAAGGTGTTTATGACTAGGAGATTGGGGTTTAGGGATTATAGGGCTTAAGGTTTAATGTTTTTCATCCTGATTAGTGTGGGCGGCCTTACTTGTGCAAACTTCGGCCGAAATTATTCAGCAACCCTGTTTGGGGGCTGTTAATAGTGCGACTTGCGCGTCCAAAAAATAATTCGCAGCTCAAGTCAATAGAAAACCTTCTGAGTACTTTCTGGAATTCTTCTCAAAGCCTTCTGAGACCTTTGAAACCTGAAATCCTCTGAACTCCTCAAATTTCTGTATGCCTGATCTATTGCCGAGCCGATCCTGATTCCTCCTATTGAATTTAGTGAAAGCCTAGGGTCAGATTCGTTGGTGGGGGGCACCCCCCACCCCTTTCTAGAAATTGGGGCCCATTCTGTTTGGGGGGTACCTACACTAATCAGCATCCAACATTAGGGAATATCACAGGTTTTAGAAGTTATGGGTGGGGGCTTCGGTTTGGGGTGTAGGGTATGGACTCGGGTTTTTGTACCCCAAACACTGCAACGCTCCACGCCTCCCCCACAGCACACTCAACGGACAAAATCTTGAATGACCTGAAATACCTAAGCCTTATAGCAACTATGCTGCTATAAGGTGTACTCAAGGTCACGCAGGCCTGGTCCATTAACAGTTTCACTAAGCTGCTATCCTTCACCACACAAGCCCCGAATCCTAATGGGTAAACACAAAGCACCAAAAATGAAATGCATAGTTTTTCCCTCACACCCATAACAACAATATCCCTCAAACCTCTGAAACCCTCGAGCCGCACCACTGCTAAACATCTTAAACCCCCACAATGCTCTTGTCCCTGAACACCGAAAACCCGCACAAGAAAAGGTAGACAAACGCATGTTCGATTCAATCCACTGACCCTTGTATAACAGCTGCAGGCTCCTTCGTGGGATTCGCGGGGATCTAGTTTTAGATCACCCTGGGACCCCGGGTAGTCCTGACCCTCTATAAACATTGACTCTAAACAAGGTGTTCCATGAACCTTTCACCCTAAAAGTCCCTGAAACGTAAGCCTTTGAACCTGCCCTAAAGCCCTAAGACCTACTTGCTAAGGAGAAGTATGGCACTTCGGTGGGTCCTTTCCTGAACGGCGACCTCAACGCCTTCGTTGTCAAGCCGCTGCAGGAATCGAACCGCACAGTTTGGTCTTTGTATCCAAGGTCATTCAGGTTACCGGGTTTAGGGTGTAGGGTTTATAGGGTTTTTAGGGTTAGAATAACCTAGGAGCTCTTTCGCATGTTTAT